GGGTCGTGGACGATCCCAAGGTGACCCTCGAGGGGAAAGAGCTTTGGGAGAAGTTCCACAAACTCGGCACGGAAATGGTCATCACAAAGAGCGGCCGGTAAGTGTTAATTTTTGCATTATATCTCCCTCCCCCCTTCCTCGTTCGTGCTTGTTATCTTGCATGACAATGGAACGTGAATTATCTCGAATGATCCTTCAAATCTTCCTCGACTTGTAATTTGTATAATCGTCCAGGTTATACAAGTTATATTTCTGTTTTTTCTTTTTTTTCTTTTTTTTTTTTTGTTGAGACTGAGATCGAGTTAATTCTAGATTTCAAATAGTTTATCTATTAATCGATGCTGGTTTTCGTTTCGTTTTGTTTTTTTTTTCGGCTTCAAATTTCAGTGGAGGTTGAAGCTTGTTAAATTATAAATGAAGTAATATTTCTCGATCGAAAGTTTAGAAGAAAAAAAATATTATCGTTCGAGTCACGAAAAATATCTTTTATCTATAAATACGAATTCTAAGGTTCGATTTCGATGATGACACTTGTTTCAAGAGAGAAAAAAGAGAGGGGAGGCCGTAAGGCAAGAGCCGTGAGAAAAATGACGGGTTTCCGAGCGAAACATGAGAAGTAGCCGCGAGAAACCGCAGGAAATCGTTCCTGGCCTGGCTTTCGTTCGCGAATTCGGTCGGAATTTGGGCGCGAAATTCGAATTGCGCGCGTTCGATGGACTCGATCGAATCCAGAGATCGAGAACGAGCAATGGATCGATTCCATTCTTCCTCCTCTTCTTCTTCCTATACCCACCCTATTTCTGAAACACCTTTCATCGCGTTTTTAAAGATTCAGGGATTCTATGGCCGGCCACTTTCCCCAGTCCTTCGACCATTGGAAATCCTTTCAAGCGCAAACTTTTACGCAAATCGCGAACGAGAGAACGTAAAAGGGGTAGTTTTAGTTGGAAAACACACGGCGTGAGACTATACCGAACTATAATAGTTAAGCAAAGAGAACACGCTTACAGCTCGTGCTTATACCCTTGGATCTATAGTTGTTATTCCTTCCTTGTTCTCCTCTCCCCTCCTCCCTACCTTTCTACGTTCCCTCTCCTTTCTCTCTTTTTTTCTCTCTCTCTCTCTCTCCTTCTCTCCGTTTCGACGCGACTTTGAATTTTAAACGCCGCGTTTTCTTTTAAATATCGTCCCCGATTTCTTCGAAATTATCGAATATTCAATCTCATGAATCTTCAAGGAAATATACATATATATATATATTTTTCAAAACATCAAATCTTCGCTCGTTCTCATAGTTATTACCAATTGCATAAGAAGAAACAATTTATTTCTACTCACGATGCAAATTCTCTCTAAAAAGAAAAAAAGATCCCCTTGGAGTACAACCCTCTCGCCTCCAATTCCTCCCCAAGTTACTTACCAACGTTGTTGTTCAACCCGTGAATGGGCGGCAATTTTGTGGGTGCTGTGGTGGTTCCAATTTTCGTACAGTATTCCTCGAGACTCTCGCCGTGTCCCTCGTGTCCGAGGCCCCGCCACGAAGGGAAGAAGCCAGCCTCGGTTCTCGCGGACGGGCCCTGGTAATATCTCGTTTAGAAAGATTACAGGTTCGGTGAACAGGCTGCCAATGTATAAAACAAACATCGTTAAGCGAGCCCTATACTTAAGGAAAGCCAGAGAGAGAGAGAGAGAGAGAGAGAGAGGTCTTCGGGGCCTGGATCGCCCCGGGCATTATTCGAGTCCATCCTTCTCTCTCTCTCTCTCTCTCTTTGTGCTCTCAGAACTGAGAGAAAGAGAGAGAGAGAGAGAGAGAGAGCGTGGCTGTCGGTCGGCCACTGGTACAGGTCAGGAACGAAACGAATGGAGGAGGAGGCGCGCGTACGTATTGAGACGTAGACCACCGGACGCAGGATTGGGCCAGCCGCAATTTCCGCGCGTGTAATTATCCGTGATCGTCCTCGTCGTCGATCCACCACGGCTTCGTGGCCTTAAGCTTGTTATCCGGCTGTGGAGATTGATTTAGAGCGGCCTGCATCCCGATTATGCCCTCGCTAAAGGGGGGATGATTCGATCGGTCTAGGATTCTTGGAAAATGGTCAGGTGGCTAGGATGTTGATGGATTCGTGGAGATTTATGAATCGAGAGAGATTCATCAGGGTGTATCTCTTTCTTTTCCTTTTTCTTGGAGATCGTTTTATTAAACATCGCGGATTATTCGTGAATTGTAATTCGTATTATAATGGAAAATCGGTTAGATCTAGTTAGTTTGGTGTAATCGGGATAGATTTTCGATCGATTCAAAAATTATCGTATCCCAAACGTTATCATTCATCCTTCTGCTAGATCGTTCCAAGAATAGAAAATTGATCGACGCGATACATTCGCCAGATCCATCCAACGTTAACGTATAATTCGTATATACTCGTTTCCTTTACATCCCGTATTTTTTTTTTTTTTTTTTTTTTTGCGCATCCTGGTGAAACGTTCGATCTTTATCTTGTTTACTCGTTTCTTGGAAAAACTTGGGACCACAGCGTTAAATTCTCTCTTCTTGCGTTAAAATATCGCGATAAGGAAATAAGGTCTGTACTATACACACGTATATATTCCCCCCTCTCCTCCATAATAATGAAATTCACCCGGCAATTACGCGAACACAAGTAAGGCCACAGGTTTCAGATCTGCCACTGTTCCGAGAAAATCAACGGTTAATGGATCTCTCTCCTCCTTCCTCCTTACTACTAGTTCAATCGTGAAAGAAACGCTTAATTAACGGTTTTGGTCGCGTGTGCACACGCGCAAGCGGAAGTAGAAATTCGTAAGCAGTGGATCGAGGAAGGAGGGGGAGAGAGGCCGGTTAAACGAGTCAATTAGGCCAACGTCTCGGCGTTTGTATAAAGTATAGGGAAAGAGAGTTTTTTCTTTTTTTTTTTCTCTTTCTTTTTTTTTTTTCGACGATTTGACGCGGTTACAAGAGCCGCTCTCCTCGTCGCTCTCTTCGAAGCCTGTTGAGATCGTTTAGTACACTCTTTTATGAAACTTAATTTCCGTGATTTTTAAATGAAATAAAGCGTCAAAGGGAGCACGCGAGCGAACAAACGAGCAATAAAGGCCCTGGCCACAGTTCCACGGGATGACTCGAGTGATCCCAGCCAAGAGTTATATAGGCTTGGTATGCCACGTTTTCTTGCGTATTTTCTCACCTTTTTTTTCATTCTCATATCGTTTACACACAGATACATCTTTCTCTGATTTTTATCTTCGGTTATTACTTATCTATATTTATTAATAATTTCGAAATAAACTCGGCACGTAGATACAAAAATACACGCGATATTAATTAACTCTTATTTTCTTTTTCGAAAATGGAATTAAATAAATTATTCTCTCTTTTTTCTTTCAATCGTATTTATAAAAAAATTCTAATCCCTTTAATATATCTACCCATCTTCAATTCTTGCAAATTTTCCCTTCTTTATTCTTCATCCAAAAAAAAAAAAAATAATTACTCGCGCTTTGAAAGTTCGAGCAGATTTCTCTCTCTCTCTTCCTCCAACAGGTTTAATAAAAAAAAAAAAAGTGTCGTCCCGATACAGCGAGGACAGGTGTCGCGTAAAAGGCGAATTATCGTTGCATATCTCCGGGTGCAGTAATTTTCATAGTAACATTGCGCAACGAAAAGGAGATATCGCGATTATTCCTGTGCCGCGATCGGACGCGCCGCCGGCTATCGCGCGATGAAATATGCATGTCCATTTTTGACGTTTGAACTTGTACTTATCGTTGATACCGCCGCTCACGACGTTATCTTGGACGAACTGGACTTCTCCACCTCGACGGATAGTTAGAAGGGGGAAGCGATGGTGTGAAGATATCTCTCCTTCTTCTCCTTCTTCTTTTGTCTCTTTTCCGCGTTTCTTTCGCAATGTCGAAATATCAACTCGGGGGTAAAATCGAGAGATTTGCTTTCACCAAAAAGCCCCAATAATTCTTAATTATTGTTTGTTTCATATTTTATATATATCCAACATTTATTCTTTTCAATTGTTCAATTGTTGAGCAGTCAACGACTGGTTTTTTCACGAGTTCGAGGCGTTGAAAACGAACGGAAACGATAATGCCAGATTAACCATCATTTATTTGAATATTACGTTGTGAAACGTAATACGCGTAACAGGTATCAATTAACGTCGACGATAGATTAAAGAGAAAAGATAAATGGCCCGATACGCGTATATATATATACCTTGATATATTTTCTAAAATGCCGCGTAATCACTCTCTATTAACTAAACTCTCTTCGTGTGGTTGCATTAAAAAGGGTCACCACCCCGTGTTTTTTCCTTGGCAAATCTCTGGAAATTCCTTCGCCGTGACACGAACGTACGATTCCGTTATCCAACGAAATGAGAGAGAGAGGTGAATTTCTCTTCGTTTAATCGCTCGATTAAAATTTAGAGCCAACAGATATCTTTTCGCCTCTTTTATCGCTGCTTTCTCGCCGAGGAAACAAAAGCGATTTCCGTCACGCGTTCGCGTGCGTATCGCCGCCACGATCGCCGGGATCGATTTACTTTTACAATTGAGGGGAAAAAAAAAAGGGAATATCACGCGTTGGAATATTCAAACGCAATAATTAACGGGTAAGAAATGCACAAAAGGTGTGAGAATACGTTTAATCAATGAGCGATAAAATATGTTCGTTGTCCAACAAACTTACTCAGATTAAAAATTGGCTACTAAAAGAAAAATCCTCCATCTCCCTCTCCTTAAAAAACCGTCAACGTATCGCTCGCGTCTTTACCTGCGGTCCGCCGTGATCGTCTCATCCTCTCCCCACCACCGGTCCTCTCTATCTCTCTCTCTCTCTTTCTCTCTCGCGGCCGAGCCCCACCATTCAATCGTACGAGTTCGTTCGTCCTCGTCTTGGCCTCGGGTGGCGCATGTGCGGCCTCTTCTCAGTTTCTCTCTCGGCCGCGAAGGGGACGCTCTCTCCTCGGGGTCGCGCTCATCCCGCGTTCCAAGCTGGGGTCGGTAATTAGCCGTGGTGGCCTGGGCGCGCCTGAAAATGCGCCCTGCGATTGTGGTGGAAGTGTC